GGGGGGGGGGGGGGGACTATGGAAGGCACAGCGACACTCTGTGAATGATAGCTACGGTGGCGATATTTGGGGCTCAGCCACTATGGACGACGATGGATATGGTGAGCCTGTTGAGATGCAGCTTGCCCTCAAGCGGTTGGGGGGTTGAGTTCATTGTTGAACTACAAAACCCTCATATCAAACCCGGATAAGATGTCACTGATATGTCGACATCCCGACGTATTTGAAGTTCCATATAGGTACAGAAAAGCTCATACGTATGAAGCTCCAGAGTGATCGATTACAAGTATCTACAGCACGAGTATACCCAAACCATAGACCAGTGCTGCAATCCAAGGTCCACCGATTCGATTTCCTCCAAACGCCATCCCATTGTTCGGTTCCGGTTCCACTGTTCTGTTGTTGCCGTATGAAGCATTGAACACCTTCTGTGCTTCAAAGTCACCTTGAATCTCTCCGCGACTACTGCAATTCTCATGGACAAGCTTGAGCTGATCCTTCCAATAATCATCATCCAATGACCACAGATGAGCTTCTGTAGAAGAATTCAGAAGAGCAGTAATGACCATACCGTAACAGGGATGGCATGGTTCTGGAAATGGCTTCAATTTTGCATCCCAGTCGTGTAATTCATCCATAATGTCTAAACAAGGTCAGTCCTGCGTTGTCTGGATTATCGTATAGACTTACCCAAGCAATAACGACCAGACTTTGTATCCTTGATACAGGTTGCGTTCCACATTAGTTCCATGTCATTGGCCTCTGTGATCAATGTTTGCAGCGAGAGATTATCTTCAGTTCCATCTTCGGCGCATTCTTGGGCCACTGTCTCGTTCCAATTTCGGAGGGACGTGGAGCAGGTAGCGGTACACATAGCGTCGGCCAATCTGTTACTTCCAACCCATCCTTGGTATGTAGACTTCCCCAATGACCGTGTATAGTCGTAGCATTCGAGATCGGTTTGCAAGGCTTTGGTACAACTCGATGTAAAATTTAGGCTGCCGATGTACATATCGCTCTGGACTTTGAAGGCATTGACAGCCAGAGAGAGACTGAGGGTAATTATTAAGCGCATGGTAGGTGTGTGAAGGTGATGAACGCTGATACTGCTGGTCAGGACCTCGTTTGATTTATATAATCTCACTGATCCCTCGCCTCTACCGACCCAGGACAGAAGTGGATATAAAAAGGATATTAATTCTGCTTTGAAAAGGTCGTCAATCCTGCTAAGATGCCAAGACAGCACAGACCCGGTGGATCAAGCGGATGAAACTGTCTGTTGGTTGCTAGCGGAGAACGTGCACTGTCACAGCCACTGTAATCCCGCAGCAAGTGAGCGTCACCAGCACTTCTGTGCCACATCATTGTTGAGTTTGCAGTGTCCAAAATCAACTTATTATAGCTTAGTAGCATGAAGGGTCAACTTTCTTTCTTTAGATGCACATCAATTGGTTGTTATTATGCAGAAATACAGTCAGACTACCAACATGTCACTATTTGTAACCACTCTGCAAGCGATTGGTGAGGGCTGGCGCTGCCCCCTGGTGCTATGGAGCAATTTACTTTACACTAACAACCAACAGTTTGTAACTAACAGCCAACAGATGATAAAAACGAAGTGGCCAATACGGGGAAACCATCAATCAATTTTTTAATCAAGGAAGAGAAGGATTTCGTAATTAGCTACCTGTACATAACAATAGGAATGCTCCACTGAGCATAATTTGCATCCACGAAGTATGAACTGAGTTACCGCCAGTGTGTCATCACCTTCATTCGTGACTCGTTTGGTGTTATTATGTTTGAACGAGGAAACGATAGTTAGGTAAGTATAGGCGAAGTTTCGTAGGTGGTCAGCTGTAAGTCACGACGACATTGCAAAAGAGCACGCAATAAGACAACCTGGCCCTAAGTTTTCCCTCACTGGAGCCTAACGAAATGGGCTGCGGCATTAGCGCGCGATTCTTATCAAGAGTCAAAGTATACAGACTCAATCATCTGATCGTGAGCGCACCCTGCGACGAGCGTGCGTCGTCTCAAATACAGTCTTGGCTTACGGATCCCGGCGACGCTAACTAATCCCCTGGGTGTAAAGATGTTTTTTCAAGCTTATGAGTGGAGATCTTGAGACAGCTTGGACCACATCTGCCTAATCGGAGTGGATATGTTAAGGAGAAACGATTAATTTACAGGTACCAACATGGATCCATCGGACATTGTTAACAGAATAAATACAACGTTCCCGCGTCATGCTCAGCGCTCCAGCTGAACTAACAGACAGTGTTACCGATGCGACACAGCGGACCTCCTCGACAAACAGAACAATGGACCCGAATTTAGACCTCTATAGGAGTATCTCGCACCTCCCGATTTCGGAGCGCCGGAAACGCGTTCAGCATCTTTCCGAGGAAGAATGCCACAGGGTTAGGATTATCGTTGAAAGAGAGGAGGATACTCGAAAACTGGAAGAAGACATTGGGGGCCGAGATCTCGTTAAAGTCGCCTTAGCTGATCCTTCTGAGTTGCACACCCCATTGAAACTGACACTCCTTGGCCGAACTATCCACTCCAGGGACGAAGATAACATGGTGGAACGCATCACCAACGGCGCCGAACGTCAAGGGTCTAGTTTGATTAGTCATATCGCGAGATTTGATCACAGTACTACTTTGCTCCCATTGGATGCCTGGAAGCTGGTCTATTGCGACTTGTATTATATAGACGGATGCGATGCTACACTACAGGAAATTTACGAAGCACGCCTTCGAGAGGAGGATCTTCAAACCCCTGCCGCTAGAGCCAGAGAGCTAGTGCGCGATACGGATTTAAAGAAGGCTCGAAGAAATGCCAGATGGATGATTCCCGCTCTCGAGCATCCCTGGAAGGATGAAGACCCACCACAACCGAACCCAATGGAGGAAGCCGTTAAACGAATGATCGAAAATTCACCTATTCCAGAAGAGGTAGCAAAGCTCTGCGAATCTGAAAAGATAATAGAGAAAGCCAGGAAGGACTGGGAAAGAGAGAAACCCAAAAGACGTCTAGAAACACTCTGGAAGCAAGTATCACCTGCACCACCAGCTTGGATGCAGAATATAGTTGATGCTAAAAAGCCATTTGGCTTTATATACTATGTATCCAGAGAAGCCAATGAAAAGTATGGACGCCACTGGAAGTCAGAGTGGCTTCGCATTGATAATACCTGTTCGCCGTTTGGTGTACGCTGGTCTTGTATCCATACTCAGGGACAGGAGAACTGGTACGCAATGCATCGTCTAGAAGCTGAGAATTGGCCTGTGTTCTCCCCCGATGAGACATTGATTGAAGGCGACGATCTCAGGAAGTGAGTTAGGATATCGCAACACCGAGAAGAGTAAACATGCTAACTACTTGCTAGACATTTTAAGCAGTACAGGGAGAAAAACAAGTCTGATACTAAAGAAGATAGGAAGATGATGAACATGATCAGGAAGAAAAAGAAATACCCTAGAGTGCAGGAGTACAGCGATGTCCTCTCTCCTGGGTTCCTTCGTAATACCTTTATTGTGATTCCCATCGAGCTGGTTGATGGTAATCGCAGTATCGATGAAAATGACTGTCTTGATCCCTGCTGGGTCTGGGCATATGATGCAGACTGGAACACCTCACAAGGCGAAACTGTCTTCAACGGGGAAAGGTACGAAGGTCGCGTCAAGGTAGCCAAATGGTCACTCAACTCATGGTTCTACGGTGCTCGCTGGGAGGGTGTTAGTCTTCGGGACATGTGGCTTAAGGCACAGCTGCACCCGGAAAGGATGTGGATCTGTTATACGAAGGAGCTTGAAGAGTGGGATCATGAGCCTTATATATGAGGGAGATGTTTTCCAATGACATGTAAATAGCTGTATTTCGGACAAAGCACACAGGAATTCGACCTGGAACGTGTACACTGAGACCTGTACAATTGGATCGCCAGAGTGAATGAAGCTTCCATCCCAATCTAGTCTTGCTGCAAGGTTTGTGCTCATGGAAAAGAAACGAACGCACCCCCCAATCTTGGTCTACACTACAGGCACAACAGCTTATAGTAGGTCTTATCCTTCCTAGAGGGTGGTTCGGGTATCCTCTCCTACATAACGTGCACTTTAACAGCTGCCATTATGGGAAGGGAAGATTGTAGCGTCTCGTTATACTATTGTAATCTCTCTTACGATCAACTCATTTCTAACGAAATCCTTCTTTCTTGCTCTCATGAACTGGCCAACTCTCTTATACAAGCCTTCAACTTCCTCTGTGAGTAGTAAGCCAGAAACACTTCTTGAATCTCCAAGCTCAGAGGCCACAGCAAGACAGTAAACAAGCATAGGATCAGTAAATCGAGACTGATCACAGGTTGCAACTGTGTTATCATTCCACGAGCCGTGTAGAGTCTCATCATCTAGATCAACGTCAGGGTACCGCGTAACAAAGTCTTCAATATGCTGTTTGTAGGCGTCTTGGCAAGAGATTATACTGTTGTCCCTGTCTAAGTTGGGGAGCAACACAAGATTCGAGGTTTGCGGATAAACCCAGGCTCTCCTTACAGGCCCTCTCAGTTTCAGATATCCAGACACAATTTCTCCAAAAGAGTTTCCCCCAGTTTTGGGCGTTGGAACACAATCCAGGATCTCGCAAATAGTGATAGGATAGTGTACAGGTGCAAATATATCGTTGAAGCAGATGACACCACCTTCAATGCTAGCCCACGACCATGAAGGCGCACGATATGCCTTTGGCTGGTAGGAAGAAAGCTTAATACCAGGGAGGCTTTCATGTTGATGTTCAACATACCAAGTAAGTTGCAGCGCAAACTTGTACGTCCACATTCCAGCATGATAGCTTGGACCAAGAGCAGAGCTAAATGATGACAACGACGCAACGCCAGCAATCGCGTTCAGCTTGTCGCTTTCAAGACTAGCAAGACGAAGGGAATAGGCCGTTACGAGCCTACACCACGAGGTCAGAGCGTCGTACTTGCAAGCGATCGCCTCCTCTTCATGTAGCAAGAGTGTGTTGAGGTTAAGGGTATAGGACCTTTCGCTACTATCACTATACGGGTAGTGGAAAGAGTCGCCAAAGGTTCGTGTACCGGCTTTACAGTCGCATAACATTGTGTGGACGGCAAAGGTAATGGATCTTTGAGCGAGCAGTTGTTCCTGCAGGGTCCAAGCTCTCTTTGCCAGTGGCTCGGAACGTTCATTGTAGGATGCCGTGCTGAGCTTGCTGAAAGAGAATGATCCGAAAAGATCAGATTTCATGCGGAATGGTATCATAAAAACGTCTTTTAGGGCAGGCCGGTTTTGCAGAAACCCTTCAGCGACGGCCTCTGCAGAGGCTGCGACGATAGTCAACGCTGAACGGGCGTAGACATCCTTCATTGAGGAGATCTCTTCATTCTTGTCATCCTCAGAGTCCTGGATAATACAGAGAGCATCGATCCATAGATGTGGAATAGATAGTTTGCGAGTTATAGTGATAGCCTCTCGAACTGTGAGAGGTAATGTACTCATATCAAGAGCTTTACTGAAATGGGCATAATTCGAAGTGTTGAGGGTCTCGAAGGGTGCTTTGCCCCAACAGTAGGATAAAGTTGTATATGTTCCTCTTTGACCACCAGACTCAACAACACGAGGCTCTTCCTGGTCTGCAGGATTGACTTCGATAACTCTGGTAGGAAGTGGAGCATTTGTATAGGAGCTGGAGCAGCCTTCGTGACCTTTGCAATCGTCGAGCCACGTCTGGATCTGATCACAAGCGGCATCACTGCCTACATCCACTCGCAAAGGACGTGCAGTCACGAACTTGGAAGCGTTATCCTGACTAGTCGTAAAAGCATAAAGAGACTCCATCCCAATATTTATCTCTTGTCCCTTCGATAGATAGTAGACACGGACGAAAAATACATTGCGGCCAGATGGCGTAGCGTGGTACCTGTCACGGGATGGAAGTAGTACGGTTTTAACCTGCGTGTCTCCAGATCTTGAATCATCAAGGAAGGTCGCGATAAACCTGCACCAATTGCAACGTGATGAAGCTGTTCTGATTTCGTCAACAGTGTAGATACCGGTTGTCTCAGGTATGGAATAGTGGTCATCTTCGGCAGTACAGGTTCTTTCGAAAGCCTCAGTGTTGAAGAAATCCGTCCAACATTTGGGGCAGACGAGGTGTTGTGGTTCCATGCTAAGTTGACATGAGCTTTTGGTAAGACGTGATTTAAAAGGCGGGGTAGTTGAGCCTCAAGTTGGTACCCCGCTACGGGACCGAGGGAGATAGGGCTTCAACCACCCCGCCGTTTTACCCCTGCTACACAACACTTAAAGGGCTAATAGCCACCACCCGAGATACAAGAGTACCTACTGACCCATGACGACCAAAGCACATACAAATGTAAAAGACAAAGTAGAATGGCGACAGTGGATTCAAGGCTTGTGAGAACAAAGGTCTCAACGTATATTCTCTAAAGCTTTTTGGAATATAAGAAGCTACTATCTACTTGAGAATGAAATGTCTGGTTGAGCAGAGGTAAGAATCATCTAACAGCAACATGGTTGAGCACAAGCTGTCTTCCAATGCACACCGATATCTTCCAAACGGAACTATGCACAGCCGATGTCGAACACCTGAGCGATTGCAGCACCCACTCCCGGTATAGCGGAAAGCGCATCCTTGAGATTATCCTTCACAAAACCATCACAGTCCCATCCAGCAGTATCCCGACATTGCAAGTTGATGTTATACGACAGCTCAGCCGTGTTAGCGCCGCTGGCCAGGTTCAACACGATCTGCTGGAAGTTGAGAACACTGGTGATTTCTTCATCTTCATTGGTGCAACTGGGCTGTCCTTGGTGAGTGCAGAGAGGATTGTCCTCGATGCTGACCTGGATAGTCTCAACAGTTGCCGTGTCCGTAAGGGATGTAGTAAGAACATTGATCATGTAGTCTCGCTGATCGGTGTTGTCCCAGTTGCCCGAGGCAGTGACGGTCCAGGTACAATCGAGGATATCGCCGAACGACTCGAATTGACCGAGCTTGACTGGAGACTCATAGGATGATCCGCCGTCGCAGCTAGTATCCCCACAGAGATCGTGCAGACCATCGCTCAGGAGCTTTGCTCCATCAATGGTGGAAAGTGGAACGTAGCTCTTGCCGAGTCCAACCTTTGCGTGGTTTTCACCCTGGCGACGAAACATCTCGGGGACTGCGAATGCATTGACGAGCTGTCCAGATAGGGTAGCAAGACCAAGGGGAAATGTAAATCGGTGCATTGTAACAACACTATTCGACGGTTTGGCTGATATTTCAAGGTTGGTAGATGGAGGTTGAAATGAAACTGATGACGAGTATACTATCAACAGAAGGAGGAATTTCAGCGTTCTTATACTGGTATGAGGTTGTAGGGGGCGCTCCTACGTAGCTCCCGAATTGCCATATTCAAGAAACCACCTTCCACATTTGGCTGAGAGCAAGCTTACTCCGTGCTTGGATGGTGTATAAGCGGGTATCTGAGGTGCCCAATGTGAAGATACGATGAACTTGACATTACGTATACCGTAAACCTGTACTCAGTCATGCTTGGGAAACAGGATGCCAAGGTCCTCCAAGGAATATCGGCAATGTCGCGGATCTGTATTTTACATCGTGATCGAGGAATTTCCAATCAAGCCTCTCGTATCGTCAGCGGGATCTGCAGCCGTCGGAGCCTATGTGTAGATCTCGGGGATTACACTGTTACTAGCGCTTATCTCAAGTGAAAGGGAGTGCAATCTCCAATCCTGTACAACGATGGATGGCAGGCAAGTGTGGAAAGCACTATGCTCTCAGACTTGGCTAAGATGAGAAAGTCATTGCGTCTCTTGTGTTCTCAGCGGCTAAATCGTTTGACACCCTGAGCCATGGGAAGCCAGATGACGATGACCTGCCTTCTCCATGTCACGCCTTGAAAGTAAAACCGAATGGAGATTGACTGCGGTGAAGAACAAACTGTCCTCATGACTTACTTTCTTAAGGAAACGATTGACTGTCACTATTCCATACAAGTGTAGACAAGACTTATCCTCTTCTATAATCCTCAACCCGAAACTCAAATATTCCACTGCCCGGCCTCTCCTCCACTGCCCGAATTCTCCTCCTCGTATCTCCTTCCCGATCCAAGTCGATCCCCTTGGTCGTCTTCGCAATCGATGAGAAAGTAATCTCTCTTAACTCATCCACACCATCCCGCGCCATAGCCACAAGACCGTACGCAACTCCAACAACCCCAATGAGGAACGAGGCTACGTATACTGTAATAAGAACACTCCGATTGTAATAGAAGTAACTCCCTGTCTTCATACGAACACAGGGATATTGTGTTTCTGGTCCACCTGGTCCTCTACCCGAGAGTTCCTTAGGGTCAGCTGCCCATGCCACTGCTAGAAGTAGTGGGTCCGAGAGGAGAGAGATGAGCAGATCCTCGTAGAGCTTCTGTACTGCGTCTTCGAAGTCGGGGACAGGCAATGTTTCGGGTCGAGCGACCAGCTTTGAGGTTGTGATGGATGAATGGGCGATGGGACCCGGTAGTAAGATTGAACCTTGGAGTAGATCGCGAATCTTCTTGCCCAGAGAGTGATATGCTGCTATCTTACGGTAGTATTGCCAATTGATTGGGAAGACGTAGTTCTCTTCTGGCTCGGCGTACTGTGGATCCAGAGTTCCATCTTCAGATGAGTCGTTGATGTATGTTGTGTTGATAACCTTCCGTAGATAATCTCGGTATGTGACCTTGTAGGATTGCCGACCACCTGTATAGTTCAAGTTGACAGTATAATTCGTCTCCCAATGTTCACAAGCTGTTATGATAGGCGTGTAATCTGAGGACCAATTCTTCATACTGCGGTTCTTGGCATGCTGTTCGTCGATGCTATCCACTTCAACATACCCCATCCATAGTACCGGCTCCGATCTGAAGGCGCCTAGATTCTTGGGAAATGGTGGCTTTGGTACTGGTTTGTTGTTCTCATCGACTTCGATCTGATCAACCTTGTATTCTCCAATGCTCGCGACGGTGTAAAAGCTTGCATTCCCGTATGGTATCAATTCAGTGAGGTTGAAAGGCGTAGTGTAGTTCTTGAAGCTCTTCATCGTCGAGTTGGCTCCTTTGGCGAGTTGCTCGCACTTGTATGCTGGCCCGACAAAGGAAATGGTCGTGGAACAATCCCATCCTTTTCCACAAATCTCATCAGCCACTTCGTCTCGCTGGACCGGCTGTCCTCCAGCCAAAACCCTGGAAGCAATCGAGTCCAGAGGCGGAGCAGCCTTGAGCCAGTAATCGAAGTGGTAAGGGGATTCTCTGTCTCTCATTACCTCGTTGAACATAGAGATTGAGATCCCTCGCATCGTCTCATTCCTTGCCCGCTTGTCATCATCCCAGCTCTTCTTCGCATCATTGCTAAAGTTCAAAGTTCGGACGTCCTGGCAGAATGTGTGATCTCCTCGTGTGTCCGTCACCGTGTTCAGCGTCGCAGAAGTAAAAATGACAACAGCAGGTGACAACCAGATATATATCGCTAACACCATAGCGAATGCCGACTTCTTCCACGCCTCCCTGTTGAATAACTCAAAAGCATTATGCGCTGCACCGAACAGTGAGTCAATGGCATGAACAGTGTAGCTTTTCCGACTGACGGCTCGCCAGGCAACTTGCTGATGCGCTGTCAAGACGGCAACAACGAAACTTGCTTTTGCAACAAAAGCTAGGAATTGACCAAGACGTAACCACCATTGCTGATTCGTAGCTTCTCGGTTGTGAAGATGAGAGTAAAGAATATGATGACCAATGGCTGCAGCTGCGCCGAAGATAAGACAGACGACCATGCACCATTTATTCTTTGCGATGCGGAGCCATAATGGGTCTTTGGGTGGTGGTGGAGGAGGTTGATAGAGGCCAAGTCCATGTGCTGGTTCTGAGCTGAGTAGGTTCACACGACTATTGTCTCTTCCACCCGAGGCATATGATCCACGCAAGTCTGGACTCAGGGGTTCAAGGGGGTGGATGCCAGGTCGGGGAGAATCAAAGTCTGATCGGGGTGAGAGGTATGAGGTTTGGTGGATAGTAGGTGTGTCGGCGGGTGTCGGCGCGATGTTGGGGTGAGATTCAGAGTGAGGGTCGTTAATGTGTTGGTATTCTGGCGATGACCTGAAGAATGACGTTGATGCTTGCCGCATGTTGTCGGTAGGTTAGGTACCCGTTAGGCTTAAAGATAATGCCTCAGGATGTAAGCATAGGCTTGAGAGTTGTAGCCGAGAACGGCTAGTGTGATGCAGTAGTGTGGGTTCTCGCTGGCCTTTAATCAGTCTTCAAGGGTGATAAGGTCCATGGTGATACAACGAAGACATGGCTGCGCCGATTGCAGTCCAGTTCATTCATATTTGTCTCTTCTCAAGGGAAAAATCAGTCTCTACCCTTGGGGCTGAAAAGAAATGAGGGGGCTTTCCCGTTGCGAACCCCTGGAGCTGACATGCTGACAATACGGAGCAGTTGAACCGTTTGAGGTCGGATTATTGGCTGGATTCTGTCTAGCCATGCTTGGCATTTCCATATTGGGGGCTGAATCTTATACGAGCCAGTAACAGTTTCAGGGTCGATCTTATAGATCCACTTGGCGGGAACTAATTTAATCAGCGATGGAGTCTACTGGGTCAGTGTATGCAAGCGGCTGAATGTGGATAACAGAACTTAACCTATACTTGACTGTTTGGATTGTACAAGAGAGCTTCTCGTTTGCTGTACCTATGTTTATCTTCATAGTAAAGGTGAAGTATTTGAAGAATAATTTATCATTCTTTCTATGTAACCTTTTGTTTTGTTCTTCTTATTAACTGCATTGACACATTTTTGTCGTGAGCTTTGCGAAAGCATCAAATTTCAAAATTGCTTAGCAATCACTGAAATCATCTAGCAACATGTTCAATTTCGGTGCTCCGCTGCACTCCGTTCGGAATACACACTAAATCTGAGAAACGTTCATTGACTGATAGCCCATCCTGGATGCAACATGATTTGACCCTTCATCGAACGTTTACAGCAACAACTTTCGCCCCCTCAGTCACCGTCCCATTGATGGGTTTAAACAATCCGCCACCTGTAGATACATAAAAGACATCCTTGTCCTTCTTTCCCCTCCCGAAAGCCAGTGAAGTCGAACCCGCAACGGTCAATTCACTGACACTACCAACAACGATCTTGGCCTTACCCGACTTAACATCCACAAATACAATTGAGTTGTCAGAGTTGCTCGTAGCATAGATGTTCCCACGAGCATCAAACTCGAAGTCATCCAGAAAGGTCACGACGTGCGATAAATCGGCGACAAGTTGAGGCTTGGATCCCTTTACAGGATAACCAGTTGGGGTTATAGCTGTTTTGTAGATCTTGACGGCGTTGGAATTTGACCAGTAGAGGTAACCTTGTCGAATCCTGATGCCGTTGATGCCGAATGCGTTCGGGGCTGGTGGAGCCATCTCAGGGAAGGTGAACGTTGTGTCATCGAATATGCCAGTTGATACATCGAGACGACCCACGAAACCTTTTACCGAATCCGAGATCAGAACAGCATTGGGTGCACCTGGGATAGCAGCGACGCCATTAAGAAAGGTGCTCTCCTTTGTCATGTCGCTGATCTTCCTGACCCTGACCCTGCGCTTTCCATAGAACTCCACAGCAAAAGCTTGGAAAGTGCCAGAAATCAACTGACTGAGTCCAGTTGCATTGCTACCGACGACGACAAAGGTTTCGGGCTTGCCAGGACGCGGAGGAAGTTCGGCGATTCCTAGAAGACCTTGGATGGAGGGGAATGTCACCAGTTCTTTCAATTTGTTGTTGGATGGTGGAGAGGAGACTGTGTAGATTGATGCAGTGGGCCAGAGCTCAGTGACGAGCAAATCGCCATTGGAGCGAACGGCGATGTTCTCGAGCCATGTACCAAGTGAGAGTTGAGAAATTGTCTTTGCGGGGAGAGAATGAGATAGGGCAAGGACAGGGAGGGTAATGATGGCTACCAGGTGATTGAACAGCATCGTGGTATCAGTCGTAGGTTCTGCTTTGAGTCTGAAAGGTGAAGAGACTTATGTCGTTTCCTTCCGCGGTAGGACTTCTATTTGTGCAACTCAGACTTTGAGCTCAGCCTATTCGTGTTATCGCCAATAATGCAGTTCTCGTTTAGTAGTAATTTTGATTGGCCATTTGACAAAATAATATACAGTAAAGAATTGAAGTCGGCCGACGATAAGGCTTAGTGAGGTTATTACATGATTACACACCCATTTAGTCAGCTTACCCTCGTACTCGTCAGCCTCCACTCTGTGATAACACGAAAACCCTTTCATGACATATATCAAACTCTTCGATGAAGAGTACCCAACTCCGGTGATCGGATAGATCAAGGGACACCACAATTTCTCGACCCAGCGGCTCCTACATCGGTGTGATCCTCCCAATAATCATCTTGCACAAGTTCACATCCGCGTGGACTATTGAGCATACCACCGTCAAAGATTGCCCAGGACACGCACTGAGGGTCAATTGAGCAAGCACGTGCGCACAAAGCAACCGTCTTGAGGTCGGCGATATGTCTGTAGCCATGGAAGGTATTGGCATCCCAGGTGTTGATCTGACCATTGCAAGGCTCAAGTTGTGGCTTGAAGAAGTCGGATGAGCAACTGCGTGAGCCAGCTAGAAAAATCTTTTGTCCCTGTGCGTCGGCTTGGGGCGTGAAAATATCTTCAAATTGACCACTGTATTTATGGCAGGTCTTCAACATGCCATCATACTGCCAGACATCGCACTTACCGTCCTTCATGCACAGCTGTGCACAATCTTTCTCAAGCAAGACCTGCTGCACTGACTCGACCGGAGTCGCGCTGATGGATCCGAACCCAATGTTATCGTCACAAGGAGAATAGTCGCGCGGCGAACAGTTGCGTGAACCAATGAGGTTACTGTCTTCGTTCTTGGGACTGCTCATCGCATCGAATTGTTCCCGGTAAAGTTGGCAGACGCCGGCGGTTTGGAAGAACCATGTGTTGCATTGTTCGTCGGCGGAGCAGGCTTCCCAGCAATCGGCCTCAGACTGGGCATCAGTGGAAGTGTAGCCTCGGTTTTGTGCTGTACCTCGGTAAATCTGATTGTTGCACGGTATACCTGCGACAGCTGAAGTAGTGGCGGCAGTAGTAGTGGTCTCAGTGAAGGTTGAAGTAAAGTCGGTTGTTGTTGCAAATGTCGATTCGGATACAGAGATAATGGTGGATGTGAACTCAACGGAACCTGTTGTGGTTGACCCGGCAGTATTCGAAGAATCAGAGATGGTAATAGTTTCGGTCTCGACGGTCAAATCGGTGCTGGACTGAATTGAGGTGCTGATCGAAGTGCTGAGCGCAAAGATGGAAGACGACGTGAGGGATACAGATGCAGTTAGTGCTGAGGTCGCCAAAGCTTCAGCGCTACTACCACTAGAAGCGCTAATGGGCTTACAAGGTCCAGCGACAACATCAGTGATTCCAATTCCCACCAGACCAGCGATAATATTCCTCGGGTTAATCATGATAGCAAGATAAAAGGAGCGACTGCAATGGGAAGAGATATTTTGAGGGAAAGAGATCAGGTAAGCCATTTATGCTGCTGGTTTAAATGAAGTGGCTTCTCAAGACTGAGGTCTAGATCGGGCATTGACAGGTCTCTGCGCTAGTGCAGGGGATAATGGGCTGAGAAAAAGGAAGCGCAAAAGCTATTGGAAGCTAATGGTATAAGTCACCAATACACCTTTAGCTAAATAAAATTGCGGCAATGACACATATCATACTGACAACCACGGGAGCAGCTGAACATTTTCCTTCCGGCCGTGTTCGTGAACATTGAAGTCATAACCCTTGGAGAGTCTAAATTTGAAAATAGATACATCATCTCTTTTCACTTATTTACCTTGAATACCTTTTAGCTTCTCTTTCTCTTTCTTGAGAGCTATTTAAAACATTCGGTACTTCAGCGTACTCTCGTCGTAATAAGTTCTCTGATTTCTTTCTTTCCGTTCCTTGATCTCGTCCCGATACCTCTTAACGTTAACCCACTCTGAACTCGGGCCTATTGTCTCATTCTTATCCCAACTAAGCTTATATATCCGCCCTACCTTGACGCATCCCCTAAATGTATCTTTAGAACAGTAGAAGGTAGCTGCGTACTCAGCGGGGTCGGGTCTAGGACCGTAAGTCCGAGTTTCCCTTTGTTCAAGGGAAAGTATAAAGGCGATCGCTGGCTCGACTGTTACTCGAATCGCTAAGTCTGATAGTATCTCCTTGTGGGGGATCGAGTCGAAGGTGATTGGCTGACTGAGCCCTTGAGATTCATTCTGGAATCATCCACTTAAATTTCGTTGCTTTTTTCGCGTGGTCGTGGTGAAACGTGGATGCTGAGTCGAAAGCCATCAACGATTTCCACAGCACGACCTGAGCACCAAGCGACTTTGTCGCAAGATCCCCGCCATCACGAAGCCACGACCGTCGCTTCACTGAATGGCCCGAGCGACGAAAGATGGCTACTAGCAGCGAGGCACCCTTCGTGCCTAACCCGGACGATGCTCTCGACTTTGGGTTGAATGAAGACATGGAGGATAGGCTGAGTCACCTCGACAAATATACAGAACCGCAATACACTGCCCTCGTCACCCGCCTCAAGGTATTCTAGAAGAGTAGCTGGTGGAAGTGGCCCGAAAGCGTCCCAGTTTTCTTCCTCAGCGCTACGAACAAGACTCGATTCGCCGACATCAACAAAACAAAAATCAGAACAAGGATTTACTGTGGAAGCAGTGCGTGACATCAGACAAATGGAACTTTGATTAAGGCGTCTAGCTCGTCCTATATGCAATTTATTTCGACAGGGTGTTTTGAGCCAACGGCACCGGATCAAGCAAGCGGGCTGCTTTCAAGACAATCAAACAGGAAGGATAAGAGACGAAAGAGTTTAGTTGCTTTATGCCTGTTTAAACTAGCTCTTAGGTTACTTTATTTTAGCAACCTAAGTCTTAGAGGACAATTCTTCTGTTACCCACCTGTGGCAGGTGCATGAGCTCGGATGGAATAAGAATGAGACAATAGGCCCGAGTTTAGAGTGGGTTAACGTTGAGATATATCAGGACGGGAGTTCGCTTGACTAACAAATGTTTCAAATGGCTCTCAAGACAAAGGAAAGGTTTTCGAGGCTAATGAAAAGAGGCAATGTATGCATTACCATGGAATTAGACTTGTAAATGGTCATAACGTTCGTATAATCAAAAGTGTTGTTCTGTTAAGTACGCATTGCGGGAATCTCAATCCGTCCATAGTCAGCCTCTCTCAAGTCAGGCTGGATGATAGTCAGCCTCTGTCCAATTAGGCCGGGTGATATGTTGTAGCCTCTGCCAATTCAGGCTGGGTAATTGTGTTGGTCGATATCTGGGGGCGACCAAAAAGAAGAAGAAAAAAAAAGAAAGCGTGTCGAAGCCCTATGCTGCCCGATGAGCCAGAATAGTCCAGTTCTCTTGTCCATTGACCGTTTTGCCGGTTTGCCTGTTCAGAAGCTTTAAACGTTCGTTTGAGATTGGCCTTTCTGGCCATTTCCTGGTGGAACTGACTGCTCACCTCAGCTTGAATTTACCGCATGATTCAAGGCTTCAGGGAGATCTTGAAAGCATCGAATTGAGATTGCATATCTTTTCTGGCCGTGTCAATCACCATCAGCTGCACTTGAGGGTTGATACAGAGTTTTATCTCCATCTTAATCTCAGCAGCGATAGTCTTGATGCTCTGAGTAACGGCACTTTCAGTGAAACCATCAACCGGCGGTGATTTCTCCCAACACCCTCATGGGGTCCTAGCAAAGACGATGTTGCTAGTCTTGGAACCAAAAAGGGCAATCGTAAAACGAGCCAGACCAGGCTTGTGCAATATGTCCCTCAATTCGTTTGAATGACGCTATCTCTGACAATCCAGAGATAACCTAGTGCCGCCGCTGTATCTGATGTCAATGCCTTTCCACACAACCACACCAAGGCTCCAGTCTCTCAAGCCTCACCAATCTGGAACAGATTAATCAAAAAATCGCCCATCATGTCAACATGCGTGTGAGAGTTGAAGGAAAATCACTTGGCAGAGTTGTGGGTATTCTAGCGTAGATTCTCACAGGAGGACAGGTCTCGCATTGCAACCCAATGCCTGTGCCACTTGCCATGTACGTAGGCAACTGAAGCGGGATTGGTCAGACAGTAACCATCGCCCTTCGTCAATTTATCTGAAAATGCAAAAAGAAGGGGATGTAAACGGAATCTAACCGTTTGAGCTGGACGAACAGGGAATCGAACCCTGGACCACTCCCAAGTTATTCAGATGAATTGTGCTAAGGGAGTATTATACCACTAAACCATTCGCCCGAATTGAATGACGACAGCTACAGTAAGAGTCACCACATAGCGCAGTCCAACCTTCACGCGACTTGGATATTTTCCAATTGACCTAGAAATCTACAAACACCTTTATTTCTGCGCAAGTGAGATAGATAGTCTACCGCAATGCCCTCGTTGTTTTGTATCCTTAGCAATGTTTAGAGTCATCTTCTCCAGAACGCACATAGCTGGGATAAGAAGAACCAGTTTACAGATCAGCACCACTTGGTTCTCAACATCAGTTTTATGCCGTGATAGATGCTTCCATTCGTCCATTAGTTGTATAATTGGACTAATCAAGTAGCATATCACGAAGTGCAAGACCGACGCGTCGTACTCGCCCCTTGGACGATTCGAATCATACCCATGACTCTCTACCTTGCGCCGTAAAATCCAGTAACTACTTATTCAATTGACTTCAACTCATTCATGTCTTCAGAGTAAATTACTTGGGCCTTTAAGTGATAATAAGCGATAAAAGCTGACGTCACTTTTGTATGCTTGTAAGTTAGTCACATTGTGCGAAGCCTGCGAGAAAGCAAAGCTGCAGGAAATTTATTTTAGCCGGTCCAAGGAACCATGGAGCTTTAATACGGGTTTCCTCACCTTATCAGCAAGTTCTAGATATACTGGCAGAGTTAGACTATTTATGTACAACACTTGTATTTCGTCAGAGTATTAATTCTGTCATTCGTTTAGTACTCAAAACTAGTAAGAATCTTTAACCTTAATACAATCTGTACATCGAAGAAACAGTGTACTGTAGCCTTCAATAATCGTAGTATAACCTAATAAGTACCTGTACTCTAATGGAATCGATAGGCACCCTTCTTAAATACTTCGTATGTAAAACAACCCCCATGCCTGAGATATATTGTCCGCCACTGGATCCAGGAACATCGGCAAGTACTTTGCAACCCACTCAGCGTAAAGCTCTGTACCAAAGAATTCCTGCAGATGCCCTACCCTCGTTGCTTTCATGTACTCCCAATACGAGGGATACCATCCCGCCTGGCCATAGTCGATGATTCCTACTACCTTGGGATAAGGCCCCTTTGAGATGAGGATGTTTGGTGGACAAAGGTCATTGTGAGTAAAGCAGATATGGAAACGTTCCTCAATACCGATGTTGCATCTGGCGTGAAAATCGCGGACTGCATCTGGACCATCATAAGGCCCAACAGCGCCCCGTCTGGTTGTGGCATAGTAGTCCAGGACGGGACGCTTTCCTACACTGCCTAGGATCAAGTCAGAACTAGTTAAAAGCCTTAAGATGTACGTCATGCGAACTTACCAACATATGGTTCTGAGGCATCCTGTGACAGCCCTCTCCACGCTTCCGTCATCAATCTCAATTCGGCACAGACTCCAACCCTCTCCTCCTCGTTCATATCCTTGAAACGGCTCTGCAGGGTGTCGCCTTCAATCAAGGCCATGTAGATGAACCCCTGTTCATCATCTTCCGCCCAGGCAAAAACTTCTGGGACTGGTACCTTGTCTCCCAGTTTTTCTCTTACCAATAACTGAGCTTCGAGCTCACTAAGAGTAACTTCTGTTCCATATTTGACCACCAGGCCTAGTTCAGGGATAATCACAGGATTTGTGCGGTCCCGGTAAAAGGCTCGAAAATCGCCGGCTGCTTCGTTCAAGCGTCTAATTTCGGCTGGTGAGGGCAGGGCAGGTGCTCGGCTTTCCCGAAAGAAACTGGAGTCGTGGAATGTTTTGAAGATCGTTTGCCCGCTCGGGCTTTGGGAGTTGTTGGTCGCCATGAAAATTGAACTTTGCGTGGATATTGTAGAAGGAGAGTCTGGATCCTGGTTCAGTGAGGAGATAAATTTGTGATATACGGAACAGGTTCTGTCAAAGCTTAGGTAACATTCGCCAAAGCGGGACTTATCATCCTTACTGTGAGTCCGACCAACAAACTGCCACGGAATACAGTGTTGGTTTGGTTTTCATTACCTACGCTTGTAGTTCTTTTACCTAACCCTGTATCTGTTGGTTCCTTATTATCCTTGCCTTTCAATCCACTTGTTTCAGGTGTAGAGTCAAGCGCTTTGAAAAATAGACCCAACATCACAGGAAGTTTATGATCGAGTACTGAAATAACTAAATTCTTCATTCTACTGCAGCTCCTCGGCGCTTGATATTTTTAGAAAGTGGTTTGCTCATAGATAATAGTGTCTTCTGTAGTATAAAAGGTCCTTCATCTCCTGTGCTATCCGATCTATACTTGTATCTTATCATCATCCTCTTTACATAGAAAGTGTCTTTCTTGTCTTATTTAGCCTCTCTAAGCCATCTTTCATATCAAGAATTACTGTATCATTAAGAAGATGCCACCAGCACCACCACCTCCTCCTCCACCACCATCCCTCTCAGGTCCAGCTGCTCCAGTACACGTACCACCACCTACGGCTCTAGCAAAGGTCCTCCCAGCGCTGTTTTGCTTCAACTTATTCAATATAACGGCGGTGGGTTCAAAAACCACTGGGCATACTTTATCCAGTCTAGCCACAGTCCGGAGTGTGGCACGATTATCCACGCAGTTGGCGATCCAAATCAAGGATTCGAATTGGAAATCAAGAGATGCTATGATTTCCAATTTACTCCGACTAAGCCTATCTTTCGAGCATCACTGCAGTGGATTGACAAGAAGTACATCAATGAGAAGGCGATGCTGAACAACATGCAACGCAAAATCGACCACAAACCTGTTTGTGCATTGGAGGAAAGCCTTTTCAAGGTCAAACCACCCACGGGAACCATGAGACCAAGCGGTACCCCAGTAAGTACATGTCATGTCAGTTTCTGTCTGGGATCTAGCTTTTTGTAGCGTTTGAGAGGAGCAGATCCTTGCGTATTTAGACAGAACAACAGAATGGTGAGGGATTCAGACTTACATACCTTTTAGGGAGTCCCTACAAGAGCGAATCTACGCAACTGCCAGACATGGGTTGCCGAATCCGCTGACCAACTAGTTGCTGATGGGATCTTGCATCGAGATGTTGCAACCTACCTGTATGCTATCAAGCCATAGAGCGGCTGGAGCTTCTTGGGTTTGCGGAGAGAATTATCGGCTTGATATTATAATGTACTTGCAACATAGGCTAAGGAGTAGTTGGTTCTAGGAGTACTCATCATACAAATACTTCCTATAGTTTATGAATTCGAAAGCATGGCACCTATCTTTACAACCGATGTAGCGGCGGCTAAGATCGTTACCGTCACGAACCTATTAGGCATTACAGACCGATCCCGCCGTTTTTGCTTTCTTCGCTATTCTTCAGCGTCACCTTATTTTCTCTAGCCTTGAGACTTGATTTTCTGCTACTATCTCAATCGCACGCGAATGTCTCTCTGTCTTGCAATTCCCTCGTCCCAAGTTCAAGACCACCACGCAACAACTGTGAAACCTGACCATGGTTCAGAGAAGTCCATTTTCATGGCCCCGTTGGCAGCCCTATAAAGCATCTTTGCGCTTTTAGTCCCTCGATATTGTCCTCCTATCAAGGTGCACGTTCTTAAATGCGAGATTTAAGTAGAAACCTTGAGCCTTGCTGAACTATGTGATCAAGTTAACCAAAAGACCTTTGGATGACATGAGAAACAAGAATTCGAAATTCAGACAAAGCCAATCCATTGTTGTTTTTTACAACACATTTACTATTTTTAGGGCACTGTGAACGCAGGCAACACACTTCTGATGGCGCGGAGCTACCAAGCTGGCATCAGCTCAAGATTCAAACCCCATATGTAAGCAATACTAGCAATCAACGAAGCAAAAAGAATGAACACACGTGAAACTACGGACGGAGCTAGTCTGAGGTGGCCCTAGTTTGACTGTTGAACCCCATCCACGATGTCCAAGCCCACCGTAGGAACCTGGTACTTGGCTCTGGCTCGCAGTAGATAATACAAGGCTCCAGCAACGGTCCACCCACTCATGACGACAATGGAGTAATTCATGTTCTGCGCTGTAACGGGTAGAGCAGAGGGAAATGTACTAAAGACTACAACAATTGCAATCCACACGAGGCTAATAACGTTGAGAAGAGGGCCTGCAATTTGTCCCAGCTTGAAAGGTCCAAAGCTATCAGCTGCCACGAGGCGTCGTCTTGCAAAGAGCATAGCAATGATAGGAAGCGCATAGCTGATATACATGCCGATGATAGCCATGGATAGAAACGCGTTGAACGCTGTTGTGTTACCGAGGTAGATAAATCCAAGAAGCATTTGTAAACCAGTTGTTACTGCAACAGCATAGACAGGAATTTGTAGTCGTTCGTTGACTTTGCTGAGGTGCTTGTCGAATGGCGTGGACTTGTCTCGAGCAAATGCCCATAGAGTTCGGGAAGTGGATGTAACGCCAGCAACGGTTGCAGCAGTAGCGATGCATACAATGATAAGGGACAGAAGAGTGGTGCCCACATTGCTCTTTGTTGCGTCAAGGAAGATCTGAATGAAGGGATATCCGGTCGGGGTTTTTAGAAGGGTCTCCAGTGAGCCAGTCGAGAATAGAAGTACGACCACGTATACGAGGCCTATCAAGGCGTTGACACCAACACTGCCGACCATGGCAATGGGGACATTTTGACTTGCATTGGGCATCTCTTCTGCTAGATGACATGCAGCATCGTACCTGGGAAGGTTAGCGAGTCGTTCAAAATTGGGGGAGTAGAAGAATACACACCCTAAGAAAGGGTACACAGCACTCAAAATCCCGACAAGCCATGAAACGCCATCATCTTTCCACCCACTGTAGTTAGTAACCTCTGTAAAAACAAAAGAAGCAGAGTTCTTATGGGCCATGACGCCAAGGACGATAACTATGGCAAAGAAACCAACAGCGTGGATGATACCTGCAGCGAATATTAGCAGATGGACTGACTTAGCCTACTGATACTGACCGGACACGGTGTTGTGTAACGGCAAGGCTCGGTGACCCCAGACGTTGAGCACAAAGGCATAGGACAGAATAGCCCAGTAAAACAAAAGGCCTTGCCACCGTTGTGGTATGTATGCGGAATCGTTGACAATGACGAGAGCTTGTGCCTGGAGACCAGCGGCAAAGGCGGCCGATGCGGTCAAAACCATCTGCCCCCCCACACAAGTCCAGCCGGTCATGAAAGATGCAGGCGTTCGGATCCGTGAAGTTGTGAGAGCGGCTACCCAGTGGTACTGTCCTAGAACAAGTTAGTAATAAGTACAATTATAGAAATCGATGCTGAATTACCTCCTGCGGTAGGGTACATAGACGCAATCTCACCCAGTGAGCTGGCAATGCACAATGAGCAGATAGCTGAGAGAACACTGGGGCTTGTAAGCGGTGTGTTCAGTCATCGACAAGAGTACACGTACTAATTGTAGAAGAGACATGGTGCTCCTCCATTGATCAAAGCTGTAGCGATGACAGTTGACAAAGCTTCCCAAGTTGCCATAAGACAGACGCACAATGCACCTAGAGAGAACAAGGAATATTCTCGACGTAGCTCTTGGTCATGGCCGAGCTGTGCAAGACGCAAGGCATCTTCGTTGTCGGCAATGGCTGTGTTTCCGTCGTCGACAGCATTTCCGTTGTTCTTTACAGACGCCATCTGATATTTCTCGATGTCTGCATTCTTGAAATCGAAAGTAGAAGACATTTTCTAATGATATAAATTCTTGCTGTGAGCTCGGAACGTCGCTGCGCTGACCATGTATAAAAAGGAATCGATAAGAAGACATACGCAATCTGCCGGCACTTACAGGCCGATCGGACGCTAGCCAGGGATAGAGGGTGGACGAGAGGTTGGTACTGATAACGCGGGGAAGTGGAACGCTAAGGCCTAAGTTGGTGTAGATGGAGATAAGGCCGCTTAGGGAGGTGAAGCGGTTTCCGCGTTCCGACACCTCTAATACCAGTGCTCGGAAATGTTTTCCGAGGACATTCCGAGATTTCATCAGGTATTTTACGGTCAAGTATTTGAGACCTGCAAAAAGTATTGTTATCTTTCAAACAGAATCACTCTCACTGGTCTTCTTTTCCACATTCACCTCATTATCCATCATGGCCTACCCTCATCCTCTCTCTGCTCTGAGCAGCAGGGAAACAAACCTTGCACGAGATATTGTCAAGGAAGCACACCCTGGCTCGACATTGTATTTTAGACAATCCTATCTCTTCGAGCCGCCCAAAGTGGAAGTTCTGAAATTTCTACAACTTGAGCACTCTGGTAACTTGCACACCACATCGCCACGACCCGATCGTTGCGCTCAGGTGTTCTACGACATCATCGGTGGAGATCAGCAAGTGCAGTATTATGAGTCGGTCGTTGATCTAACTCAAAAGACGATTGTTGAGCAGGAGGTCATCAGCCCTGAGCATCAATCAAGTCTTACCATGTGAGTACCCAAGCGATTGTCTAGGTCCTTTACTAATTCCACTAGTTACGAGTTTGACACTGTTGTGAAAGCTGTTCAAGAATCCGAGTTGTTCAAGGAGAAGCTGAGCAAAATCAGGCTGCCCACTGGATTCGAGCCTGTTATTGAGCCTTGGCCTTACGGTGCGCCAGATATCCAAGATGGCAACACGCGTTATTTCCAAGCTCTCATTTTCGCCCGGGATACAAGAAAGGGCCCAAACTCCAACTTCTACTCGCATCCAATCCCTCTTATTCCCGTTATGGACGCCAGGACAAAGAAGATCGTTCGCATTGAAGAAGCAGCCGCTGGTGGCAAGGGCGATAGCCTAACGGCCAAGACACATGCGCCAGGTCTGCTTGATCACTGCCAGTCCGCAGAGTATGTCCCCGAGCTTCTTCCTGGAGGTACACGGCAGGACTTGAAGCCGTTGATGGTCGTGCAGCCAAATGGACCTAGCTTTTCTGTTACAGAGGGAAACCTTGTTCAGTGGCAAAAGTGGCGGATGCGAGTGACATTCAATCCTCGCGAAGGAGCTGTCCTGCACGATATCCGATACGATGGCAGGCCGATTATGTACAGATTGAGTATTAGCGATATGGTAAGATGACTCAGTCCCCCATCAATAGCTGTTCTGACAACTTCTAGACTGTTCCCTACGCCGATCCGCGACCCCCTTACCATCGAAAGCAAGCGTTCGACTTTGGTGATGGTGGTCTCGGCAATGCCGTTAACAATCTGACACTCGGGTGTGATTGCCTTGGAGTCATCAAGGTAGGACAATTGTCTAACCTCGATTGAATTGAGTCTAACATCATCTTAGTATTTCAACGGTGTCCTTATCGACTCCGACGGAACTGCCGAAGACACAAAGAACGTCATCTGTCTCCACGAACAAGACAACGGCATCAACTGGAAGCATACTGACTGGCGCACTGGCCGTGCCGTTGTAACACGACGTCGAGAACTCGTCATCCAGTTTATCATTACCCTTGCCAACTACGAGTATATCTTCAATTACAAGTTCGATCAATCAGCTGGCATTGTCGTAGAGGCCAGAGCGACAGGAATCGTCTCTGTTGTCAACATCGATCCTGGTAAGACAAGCGACTGGGGTAATGTCGTTAGTCCTGGAGCGTTGGCGCAAAACCATCAACATGTCTTTTGCGTGCGAATGGATCCTGCAATTGATGGAAATGAAAACACCGTGGTTCAAGAAGAGAGTCTCCCGCTTCGGATGGACCGTCGGACAAATCCCAATGGCAACCTATATGAGGTGCGTAAGACGCAGATCACAACCTCTCAAGGTGTCGATGCAGCACCTTTCAACAATCGAGTCTTCAAGGTACAGAACCTGAATAAACTCAACCCCATCACCGGCAACCCAGTAGGGTACAAGATTACCCCGCCACCAACCCAGCTCCTCCTAGCCGACCCGAACAGCGTCCAAGCCAAACGTGCATTATTCGCCAAGCATCACCTCTGGGTTACCAGGTACAAGGATCACGAATTATATGCGGGAGGAAGGTATACACTTCAGAGTAAGATTGAAGTGGGCGGTGTCAGCGACGCAGCAGATCGCAATGAAGATGTTCTGAATCAGGATATCGTTCTGTGGAGCGTCTTTGGACTCACGCACAATCCTAGGATCGAGGATTGGCCCGTTATGCCTGTGGAGATGCTTCAGTTGCATATTACACCTTCAGACTTTTTTACAGGGAACCCGTCGATTGACGTGCCTTCGGATAAGGATATTGGATCGAGGTTAACGTCTGGATGTTGTAGAGAAGAAGTTAAACTCTAGATCTTTTTTTAGAAAGTATGCATCGATAGATCAGTAGTCTATATAATTTGTTACACTATACCTTCCTTCCAGATTACTCAATTGTTTGCTAGACATTCTGTCCGGTAAGAAAATGCAGAGGTCTTGCTGTGTAGTCCAATACGTAAGCGCTACCAGTAAGGCATTCAACTGCCGAGCCTAGCTTGAGACAATAGTCAGCTGACAGAATCCTTCAGCTCCGCCCGGCTGTGCAAATGTGACCGTAAATTATTTTCAACCTACATAGTAATAGAAGATCAGCGGCGATTACTAGACGGCGATTTCCAGAAAGAGCAGAGCTGAATTCAGCTCTGTACGAGCTAGCCAATGAAGCAAGAGCGCACAGACTGTTTTGAAAAATCTTACCGCTCTAGGTTCTAAGCTTAGTCGCGGGGAAGAGCGGTAGATGAAAGATCTACACGTAAGATATGTCGAGATTGGGGATTTGAAGTTTGATTGGAAGTTAAACTGATATTCAGAGACAGAAAGGACTTCCATTGATTGATGAGAAGACTTCTCACAGGCGAGAAAACAATCGCTATAAGAGGGCGACATGAAACTACCATTTTCTACCGTCATCATTCGACAACGCAACAGTTTCTCCTACATTCAATTTGACAAACCAACTTCACAATCCTTTCCCAATATGGAGACCTCCCTCGCAACTGTTACAGCTCTCGTTGCTGCTTCCGCCCCAACTGCCATGGCCGCTGACTGGAAGTGCAACGGCTCATGGAACGATGGGGGCCTCAAGCGCCTGTCCTTCAAGTTCCAGGGCTACTGCGAGGACCGATCTGGACAGTGTTTCCTGTCTGCCATCCGAGGCAAAAGCGTTACGGTTCACAACTGGCAGGCATGGAAGACCGATGACAATGGCTGGTGGCAGGTTGACTTGAGCACCACGGCTGGGTAAGTCGTTATCGAACGTCCAAGCAAATGTATGACTCATAAAATGTTACTAGGCTGGCGTGGCAGGTGAACAACGCTATTGAAGAGGTTACTGGTTCCTGGCGAGGATGCTGGCCGAACCAGTAGATGGGGCCAAACCGGCGCAGCGCGAAGGTTTTCATGACCTTGAACTCCTTCTGTCATTCTCCAAAGGCAGTAGCGGGGCTGGATGGAAGCTGTAAAGGTGCCTCTTAGTTGATTTTCCGTCTTACCCCTACGGTGACAGTCTGACGAGGTTATACACTCCTTTCATTTAGATGTTCTTAGTCAGATTGCGATTTATACTAAATACCGTCATTACCTATTAATCCACGGCTGACGAAAGTGGCTTCTCAAATGTCTAAGAGCTTGAGTGCAAAGGATGGCTTTGCTTGTTAATCTATTTTGCCTTCTATAACAACTTGCAATAAGCAAAGCAAAACCGTAGCCTGAGATCATTTAGCTTATGTACGTCCCTGTTAGATCTGGAGTATACATATAAAAGCCACTCGGACATCAGCACGGACATCAGTGCGAACAAAATTGCTCGTGCAGGCTACCACTCTTAGGTCGTGCTCTTGAGGAACGCATGCATTGGGTCCTTCACTGGCCAAACCATCACGGCGCGTACAGTACAAACAAAACAAGACATGACAGTAAAGGGAAACCTCTGGCTTGGCGAGTGACGGGAATTATGGTTTACGAGGCTTAGGCTACATAGATAAAGTAGTCTAGTCACTGGCATAAACTCGATTAAGATAACTGGATCATTTCGTTGCCCATGCTCTTCACGGCCATCTCTTCTGACACCCTGACGCGTCGCGACTGTTCGGAACGCGTAAGTGGATCAGTGTGAACGCCTTGTGGCCACTTGGTCGACACCCAATCTAACACCACAATGCTTCTGATAGGTGGCAGCATAGCTGGTTTCACTATCCGTACTATCTACGTCTTCTATCCAAGCGAGCCAATTATTGACTGATGTTTTAGGAAAGTGACTCCACAGAATGGCACTCTCAGTCTGATTAGTTTCAGCTGTATTTTATCTGTACCTGGTTCACTTGCTCGAGCATAGTCTAGGGTAGCTTCACAGACGAAACATAACAAGTACATTCTTCCCTTCAGTAGATTGAACATGACGTATGTGGTCAGCTTATAGCTGAAGCTTAATGTCTTTTCGAAGAAAAAAATATTAAATACCACAACAAGTCCTGTTTAGAGACACCTGCGTATCGTTGAAGTCGAGTCAGGGTTCCTCTCTGGAACAGACAAGATCATCGTGCGGAAGCCATGTTTCCTTCATTCACAGTGATGAAGAGCAGACCCACAGGACTAAGTATCAATTAATCAGGGCGCCGTCATTGACATCAAGCTTGGATTGTAAGAATGCGCCTCAAAGGGAAAAGTGTGGAGGACAAGAGCATTGCGGTGCGAGCAGAGTTCCAGACCCTGATTCCTTCAATCATGTTACTATGGTATTACCTTCTGCTGTGAGTGCTAGAAGTAAGCTATTCAGCATCGCAATCAATCTAGAATCTAATGCATTGTCTTCCCAGCCCAGTCTCCAACCGCCCTCTTCTCCGTCCAAGCCCACTTCCCAATCGCAACGGAAGCCAGAGGAACCAACCCAACAGTCAGCAACCCAACTACCCAAAGATCCCAGTTTTTAGCCTTGGACTTAGATATGCGCATGTCGGCTGTCTGCAGCTGCATCGGCCTCAACTCCTCATCCCAATCAAACCGCCCCTCCGTGTCGTACATAACCTCTTCGACCAGATCAGCACCTAGCTCCTTACGACGAGGCACTGCTCGAGCAAATCCGCGGCATGCGAATACAGTTTCGCTGGTATGAAACGTCCTTGTCTTCAGACAGTAACTTGATCTTGTCAAAGACGTCATCAGGTGTAAAGTGAAATTTGTCCAGTTTCGTCGGAAATAAATCGTATCTTCTCATCTCTCCTGTTTATGCCCTTCGGCTGAGCGTTCTCATTGTAGTTCTCGTCGTGATTGGCACCTTGCCCTGGAAGTATTGGTTCCCTAGGCCAAGATCACTTTCACAGTTTGGTGCTCTCGCATTTGAAAGTGGTGCGAAAGGGTACATAGTGGGGTAAGTGAAAGTACGAGTCGAAATCTGTTTTCTCATATATAGAATTTTAAGGTCCTTTAACCCCAGTGTTCACCTCATCCCGGGTATGCGCTTCACTGTTAGCTATTAATTGGGAGATTGGCCCAGAATTCGATAGCGTGATCCTTTGCCTGCCGGGCCGAGAAGCATCGCCTGACTAAGAGTGACAAACACAACCTAGGAACTAATACCAATGTATTGCTAAGGCTTATTTTATTCAACTCGGTCTAGTAGTAGTGCGGATATGACTAGTTTCTCGGTTCCGACGGTTTGGCTACAGATTTGAAAAGATCACAGCAAGGTAGCTGCATACCTGACGGCGTGTCAGACCTGCTACATAGCTAGTGCTTTATGACTCAAGCGGCCGTATCCCAGCCAATGGCTGAGAGTCATACTAAGGACAGGCGCTTATCGATAGCTATGGAGCAAGACGTAATGGAACAAGACTAGTTCTCCCAGTCAGCCTTTACTTGAACATCAATTGTCATTCTAGATACAAGATTACAATACGTGGTTCTACACCTTCACATTTACATCTACTGTTAACGAATCAATAGTTTATTTGGCTCACTTGAGAATCTGCGGCAGAACGCGGGAGATCGACATCTCTGAAGATCAATGCAATCTGAACCAAATCTCGAATCGAAACTAGCCGTGGACTATCGAACCTTATTGTCCAATTAGCTGACGACTCACTAGCCAGATCAGCCTTAGCTTGATCTGCCGGATGATACAATCCCCTGACTGTCCAGACCCTAGCGCGGTCTACGCTCTGAGGATTCGAGTGTTAGATCACTCTTGGCTAGTCTGAATCAATTCATCTAAACCAGAACAGGTCAAAGGGTGCGCCCAGGGCTAATGTCCGCTCCTACCCGCGTCTCGCATTTTCACAGTAATAGTAATATCATAAGCGCTACTTTCAAAGGATTCACACAGGACTGCAGAAATTGAAGCAGCTAGTAGCCTTACGCGAGTAATTGCATGTCTGAGGTGGTATATGTACACGAGCAGGGAAGCTAAACGCTGAGATTGACAAATCCTCATACTCGTTAATCTGACAGCATGGATCACGCTTCTTTCTATTCGGAGAGCAACATTGCAGTGGTGATGATGGTGCCGCACTGTATACTCAGTTTTGTTGCTACTGTCTTTGTTGGCTTGCGTCTGTACACTTCTTCTTATATAACGAGGAGTAAGTGGACTATCGATGAGTACACATCGATTGCCGCTCTGGTAAGTTTGATCTGCCATTATAACTTCTGATACTAATTGCTACAAGATAGCGAATCATCTTATCATTGCTGCCGAAAGTGTCGGTGGGTTTTGTTCTTTGAGCATATTACGTCGAACTACACTGACTCGGCCTCGAAGCTATACACTTCGGCTATGGAAACAACATCATCAAAGTTGGAAGGGATTATCCTAATGGAGTCTCGAATATGCTCAAGGTATGTTTTGCTTCCATGCCCTCTACTGAAATTTATTAATAACCTCCCCATCTAGTGTGTTATTGGTCTCGAGACGACATATTGCTTAGCAGCTCCTCTGTCTAAAATGGCTGTCCTTGCGATGTATTACCGCATCTTCTCTCAATCGCGCTTCTTGCGTTATGGAACATGGGTCCTCGTTACTCTAATAGCTTGCTGGGGATTTGCCAGTGAGATTGTTTGCAGTAAGTCTCGTTGCAGTCCATGAAGTTGAACCTGCTAATAGACGGTGATAGTCTTTAGCTGCCGCCCAATAGCGGGATATTGGGATAAGACTATCCCTGCTACGTGCATCGACTCGAATCGCTTCTATGTCGGCATTACGATTCCTAACATCATCTTCGATATCCTGACTGTAGCCCTCCCTGTCCGGGAGGTCTGGAATCTGCAAATGAATCGAGATAAGAAGTGGGCTGTTACTACCATCTTCCTTCTCGGGGGCAGGTCCTTACTTGCCTAGTCCAGTTATACGACCGTATGCTAACAGACTTATTACTCAGTGTTGTGCTCGCCTCGATTGCTCGCCTCGTCCTCTTTTTGGTCTTCCAAACGTCCTCGAATATTACCCAAACCCTCATCTGGGGCAACCTTGCGTCAACCACCGAAATCTGCCTGGCGATAATCGGAGCATGCCTTCCACCATGTGCACCAATTCTAAAGCGAATGCTGGCCCCCATCATAGGTTCCTCGAAACCAGACGCATCTTCTGGAAACAACACCAGGAGCAAGTTCTCTGCGATACAAACAATCGGCCAAATTCCGACTCGAGGGAAAAGCACTACGATTATAGAGACAGTCAATGAGTTGAATGGCTCGTTTGAGCGGCTGGATGATAGTCGGAGTTTGCAAGGATCAACGGATGGGTTGTATGCCGATGGGTATGATGGCACCAAAAGAAAAGATGGCAAGCAAGGGAAGTGGTCCCAGATACATGTTCGACGGGAGGTAGCTGTGGAGAGCAAGTGTGACGATATCCAAATGGATACTTTTACTTCGCATAGATGAGGGAGCATTGGAGGTTATGGCTCCTTTGGGAGACTTGCATTCATCACGTAATAAAGGAACAGGTGGTATTGCACTCTGGAGCTTGATCTATTTATACGCAGATGATGGAAAACCCACATACAATGTTATCATACTCTCCAACAATATTTCCAAGTGGTACTTTCGCTCGTGATACCTTACAATGCTGTATTGGAAGAGTAGATAACGCTTGATTATACTAGGTGGTGGTCTGTGGTAGGTACCCTGCATCTAACGATAAAGATTCCTCCTTAGAAACAAGTCCTCCGCTTGTGTGGGAAGCGATGCGGTAGGAGACCCTAAACACTTGATACTATGCGTTTCTGCGTTCAAGTTTCCACCATTCATCCTTTCGCAAATGATTGACCAATGCTCAGAACATAAGTAGAATGGGTTATGAGGTACACCGTTGACTGTGAAAATCTTTGTCCCTTGTGAAAATTCTGAATAACAGGCTTCGCAACGCAGTGCTTTGCGAACGTAGCTGAACATGCCGCTGTGGTCCAAGGCGTCCACCGGTGTCTTCTGGAGGCGTAGAAGGCATGCTGCAAGGTCCCAGTTGTTGTGCCAGACTGATTGTCTGAAGAGTTCCTCGTGGACATACTCAAGACCTGGTGGGACAGATCTTCCAAAGAAGAGTTCCACGAGGGGCGCAAAGTCTTGCCTTGTCCTCATAACAGGAATTATAAGGTAGAGAAACGTTCTTTGAATAGTTGTCTTGTGTAGAGGAACTATCCCGCCCCAGTTTGAGAGTTGATGGATGCAGTCCTTAAGTTTCCTCAGGTCTTCCTTGTTGGCCTTTTGACCTACGTCTCTCATCTCAAGTGACATTCCTAGATTCTGAAGTAGAGAGATGGTGAGCTGGGTTCGAGCCTCCCAGGAGTATGCTCCCCCAATTTTAGATCGATAATTCTCGAAGAACTTTGGCATATGCTTGCTGAGGTCTCTGAAACTTCCAGGAGGATACCGCAGGGCAACCTCAACGAGAATGTCGAATATTGATCTTGAGCACCTGGTCCTAGCCTCAAATAGCTCTCTCATACTGATCCGATATGCTTCGCCCCAAGACACCGCTGTGATAGTCGTATTCTTGTATCTAACGTTCTCAGCCAATGCTGCAAGAGCCTGCAAGTACGGATGGTCTTCTGGGCAATATCCTTCGGAAAGAACATTACAAATATCCTCTTGTAGTGTATACTTGGGCTGATTTGCGCATCCACACTCCTTCTTCTCGGCGAAGTCTATAAAGGCGGGAAAATATGACATTCCCCGCGCAATTAATTGTGCAACCTTTTCCATAAGCAATGAGTGGTCCAGTTGAGGCAATACTGAGGAAAGGCATCGATTGGCGCAAGCCTTGTGGTTTTTCCAGGCTGCTAGTGTGTGCAGAAGCTCTCGAAACCGTCTATCCTTCAAAGTGTCTTCGGAAACCAACATGAAGGCACGACAGGAGAGCCCCGAGTTGCCAGAATGGTGGGCGTAGAGATAAATAAACCAAGGTTCATAGTCGTGCAAAAGCTGAAGTAAGGCTGGAGGGAAAGGAAATTTGTTGAAATAGCAATCCCTGAGTTTATTTTTCCACTCTTGATCTCGCCAGGGAACGTTGTCAGAGTAAGTGATGTTGGCACGGAGAAGATTTCCCAGGAGTTTCCATGTGACCTCATTGCCCGCTCTATCGAACTGGATTTTGTGTTTGAACCAATTCGTATTTGCATATTCATAAAAAGGAGACCGAATAGCCGCATCGCGTAGGGTGGGCTGTCGGTTTGATAGGTAAGGCGCCGTGGTAGTGGTTGGTGATACGGTCTCTGACTGTTTCGGCCCAGGAACTAGTAGACGGCTCCAGCGAGAATTCAGACCATCTTTCACTGGAGTCTGACAAGTCTGTGTGGATGGTTCACCGTTGTTTGAAACGATAGCGAAGGGGCTTACATTGGGAGATTTCCCACCTCCCGAATACGTTTGAAAGTTGTCAAGGCTGACATACGTGATGCAAGTCTCACCCGCAAGTTGGTGGCACTTCGACGCCTGGATATGCAGGCCACTGAATTCTCCAGAACTGGCCGCCAGGAGGAACTCACGAATGGTTCGATGACTGAAACGCACAGTGTTGTCGGCTTCGTCCACCTCAACAAAGCCCTCACACCAAACGGGGAGACAACCAATGTCACTGATCAAATCATCTTGGCAGAAAGTGCGCTGTCCGCCTCTGATAGATAACGCTTCCTGGAGCTGAGGTAGTGTCAGAGGCTGCAAGGCTGCTTCCACTCATGCAAACGTTTTCTTTGCGATGTTCTGGTTTCCCTTCTTCATGATCCGGCCAAGCGCACGGTCGAATGTCTCTGTCAAATGAGTCGGTATCTCCTGGAGTGCTTGTCGAATGTGATTATCAGACGTTCTGGAGCAGATGTCTTGAATAGAGAGGAATGCCCATAAGAACCTATTTAGAAGCATGGGTCATTAGTGGGCCATCGTGATCTCGTCTGCATGGCTCTACTTACATTCCCTGTTCTTTCGACACAATAGTTGCGAGAATCTCATTCACTATGTCTGGGTTGTCTAGTACCAGTTCCTCGTCTGAGAGCTTCTCATTGATGATGTCTCCAGCATACGTGCAGATGTCCGCGCTTGTGTGAGACGACCCCGTAATTGCTCGGAGACAGGCAGGGAAGGTGCAGTCAAGGACCTCGGTGGATGTATCTCTCGAAGACACCAAAATCCTCATTGGCGGGGAGTTAGGAGACGAGTTATAAACGTCTAAGAAGAACTGCAAGATGACTGCTTGTTGGGAGGAATCACACTCGTCCAACCCATCGAGCACAATGAACCACTCATTTATGAGTAATGGCATCATCACATAGAGTGCTTTTAGAGCTGCCTTGGGAGGCATGTGCGATTTGGTTTGTGCCAGGAGTTCGTCGATATTGGAGATTGACTTAGAGTCGAGTTGATCAAAGTTGAGAGTAGATAACACCTGCTGGAGACATGATCGAATGACAGTCCAAGCCTTCAGGCTCTCCGGATTGTCGAAGTGAAGGAAAGCAAACGAAGTAAATCGCTTGGGCAGAGGGACTTGACACAGTTTCTCGACGACAGATGTTGCTAATACAGTCTTTCCAGAGCCTGCCTTCCCAGTTATGAGAAGAACGGGATGCGCTTTACCCGTGACCCATTCTTGATACTCATCTGTCTGGAAAACCCATTCAGCTGTGCCGATATGGCGTTTATTTCGCTGGCTGTTGAATGTGGATGTGTATTTAAAAGATGTAAGCTTTTGAAGGAGGCAACGTCGTCGATGTCCTGCTATGTCCTTCCGCTTTTGACTTTGGAAGAGACGCATTGAGGTAGTAGGCCTGGAAGACATTGGCATTACCCCTTTTTCCTGGTTTGGGCTTCCGAGGTGGGCCTTGGCGTGTTCAATTTTGGTTTGCACGATTGTAGCATTGGCCTTGATAACTTCCCCATAGCTTTGAAGTTCGTTGCGGAATGAATCTGCCATCGCCGTCCAATCCTGCGATGTAGCTACGATATATGCATTAGCACGGAATTGCAACGGGACTGCTCCAACTTACAAGATCGGCCGATAACCGTAAGAACTACCTTAAAACAAGTGATGATACTTGTATAAAGTTGACAGATTGGGCCTTGCAGATGAGAAGAGTTGTTTAGAATGACTGGATACTCAGCAGATATCTCACACAGTGGACTAAAGCCATGAAGGAGTTCTACAAGAGACTTGAAGTAGGATGAAAATTTCGCGAGAAGCTGGGATTTTAGGATTAGTGAAGATTTGTGTCTGAGAGCCGTACCCGCATACCATGAATGTTAACTTAACAGACCCCCAGATGAGTGCAGAAATCTTAGACCTGGGTTTCATAGATGTATCGACAGCTGGTATTAATTGTCCGATTGTCTGCAAGAATGGGACAAGTCTGGTAGCAATTCGCCTCCCTCGGCGGCTTGTATCGATCTCCTCTAGCTCGGTTGTGAATGCGATGATCGATTGTACGTCGTGAGGTGAGTTTTCCAGCTGTTGTAGAGTTTTGCGATCATCATCAATCAGGATAGATTGAAAGTCGTGAATTGTAGTATCCAGTTCTTTGACAGGAACTGGTTTATCCTGGGCGGCTCCAGCGGCTGGAGCGGCAGTCTGTTGTGGCGAGCGGTTGCGAGACGGCATTTTCGACTTCATTTTGATAATGAAGACTTTGTGTATGTTAGAGGGAAATCACGAAAAGAAGAAGAGGAAGACGGTAGCACCTTTTTGATGATCTGTGACTTGACATCACGTATCATAGTACGCAGGATTAGTATGAGACAATCCTTCCACAGCCTGGTTTGGGACTTGACGAGAAGTAACACGCAATGCACTGACCTGATAATATGATATTATCACAGCCTGATATGTGACTTACAACGAAGCATCAGCCTGGTTGGAAGATTCGATGTGGCAAGGCAGAATTGTCAAAGCGCATCATATTCCCTGAAACGGTCCTGGTTGCGTTTTTGATCTGTCTGCCGTGTCGTAACAGCATAAAGATTGATCTCAACTGGTCAAGACTCCACATCCTACCCAATACTGCAAACCAATACGAATTATGATACATTGGATGGGTTTTACATACACAAGAGGAAGTCCTGATCCCCGCAATCTGTAGCACAGCGAACGAATTTAATGTGTAGGCTGCATGTTCATTTTGAACAGACCTTCATTACAGATGTACAGTAACCTTACATGAAATAGGAGGACATAGATATGTCTGACATTAAAGCGATAGCTATTGCAACAGTCAACGTGATTGTGTCACATCAGCGCTTTTTCACGTGTAAAAACTACGTATTTCATAGCATGTTACTAAAAGGATGGATAAAACTTAATGAATGAACTGATCCTGCATTGATGATTGTAACTTTGTTGGTCAGCAGTGTGCGGCGAAGACATGTACAGTGCTACGGTATGACTCGGCACGCATATATTGAGCTCAAGAGGTTGCATTACAGCCTGAATTGTTAAGTGGTAATGTAGAATATTGTCAGTAAAGATTACGTCGTCAACCAACGCCAAGATCAAGATCATCAAAGCGGCTAGTGTCTTGTGAGCTTCTAACTGAGATGTAATTGGTTAATTGAGATGATCCCTGCTTTCAGCCGCAAAAACGCCTACCCCGCTTTACGCGACGTACCTACATGGTTCCGCGAATCTTACCATTGTCCTTTACAGTAGCAAAGATCCAAGACGCGTTGCTGTGGCTGCACAAGATCCTGACCTAGAATGTGGACGATAGCTGGACAAGGAGCAAATTAGGTGTCCCGTACAAGCCACGCAATAGAGCGCGGAGCGGAGATGGGTTTATCCAGACCGGCATGGTGGTAAAACTCGCCATTGTTCCAGGGACAGTGAGAATCAGGTAATCTGTGCTTATGAAGCGGATCTTCGAGTCAAGTCTGCCCTCGATAGTGTTCAGTACACAATTCTCCATTCCGACGTACTGGGGGGGATCAAAGCGACTAAAGTTATAGCCACCGAATACGCTGAAGTAGATGTGGCCTCGGATGTTCAGGTTCTTCTCGTCAGGATTAAACATCTTGTTCCTGTCTTCATCAACCAATAAAACGCCGCGTAAGATCCCATCATCCCCCTAGCTTATAGGTACACCAAGAGTCGTTTCTTTGCTGAGGTCGTAGAATTCAATGTATGCTGTTGGGAAGTAGTCGTCCCACCAAAGCTCGGTAAAATCCGAACAATAGAGATCGAAATGCCTATTCATAAGAAGATCAAATCCAGCAGGCTGGTCGTTATCTCCTCCTGATTCTGTAAGCTCTTTGAGAACTTCAAGGACCTTGTTCTCCTTGTCACGATCCAGCTTCAGCCGCTCTTGCTTTTCCGATTCTTTTTTAAGACGCACATCCCTTACATCGTGTTTTCGCAGGCTTCGATCTGCCTTCACTTCATAAAGATGAGCAGCATCCGGGCCAGTGTACTTTCTATTTCGCGATTTGCTCTCGTCCGGTTCCCAAAGCTCATCACAGTAACAATCAATGTCTTGCTCATCGCATTTGCAATCAGGGTATTCGTCATCCAGATCCTCGTCCCTAAGCTCAAGAAGATCTTTGTCGTAATCTTCACTTGTGGAAAATGTGCTACCCCTGAGTTTCAGGATTCGGCAGTACCACTGTGGAGCACCATTCTCGGCGGCCGCTTGCGCCATTGCATGTCGTTGTGAAGGCGTTTCGCCTTCTTCAAGATAAAATCAGCCAACTCTGCGTTTCTTTTTCTTTGAACGCGCCATTGTATGTTGTAGACAGTCGTACGCTTGTTACAGTCTTGGATTTTACTACGATGGAAGGCGGTGTTTCTCTTTTCCACATAGAACTTCTTTGATCCGGTCAGGCTAAGAGAGCTAGTACAGAATCTCGGCTGACTGACTTCCCCGCTTCCAGTCCAACTCGCCAGTGTCATTTTGATATTCTGTAAGTGCATACCGTCAGGAAGGCGTACCGGCAACAACAATGCTACGAAGACATATAATGTGCAAGACCTCGATTCTAGACCGGCCTACTCACTAAGTTTATCTCGCTTCAGACCACTTTTACATCTTGATTACTGAAGGTGGATGAACTGAGTAAATGGGGAACAAAGACAACTGACCAATACATCGTTTGTGGAAGAAAGCGCCGCAATATGTCGGAGATTCAGACGCTCGGCCTTTCAGCAGTCCGATCGTTCGGTTTCAAGCTTAACACGGTTTCATGGGTAGCCATTTAGCCGTTTCCCAATACTCGGTTCGAACTACTGCAGGCTTTTACACTACCAATCTGCCACACACCATCTTCACAGCTTTTTATAAGGTTTCCAATATTTGCAGTAGTCTCGTAACACCGAAGTAGAATTCAACAACACCCTCAAAGTTACCGTACGTCTACATACACACATGTGAGGAACGAGGAACGCAAGCAACAAGTGAACACACCACAACCTTTGCAGAGCTGACAGCAGTCAAAAGTTGAGGTATGGCATTGAGCCCATGTTACTAATGCAAAGCATTACTTGCATGATGCAGGAGATTCTGCACAAAAGGGACCTCTACAATGCGGTATTGAACCCTGGATTAACTACAGATGCCGGCCAGCCGATCGAACTGATGATGGTAATAATGTACTAACTTACTCTGAGGTATTGCCCGCGCTTTACAGTCATGTAGCGTTCCTTTTTCTATGTCCCGCAATCATAGATCTGTAGATACCAACTCAACAGGTACATCTTACAAAGTATTAGAAAGTCCAGGTCAAATATCAAATAAACTTCAATAAATACAAGCCCAGTCTCCTGTTGAAGGGATGTGCGACATTTGATATATAAGCTATTGTCAGCAAGCTTATCTGCAGAATCACAATGCCGCGACCGAGCGACTAGCCTTCGGCATAATAAAGAAATGTGACCGATCGAACGATCAAGAGCTGAACATGATAGGTGTGGTGCCACGGAACAGGATACCATCTGTCTTAGAGATTCATTGCGCCAAAGGTGCCACAAACAGGGCGCCTTGTTACAAAGGTCATAGTGTGTTCGCGGTATGCGGATATTGCGACACCATCACTCTGTTTCTACATATTATCCAGCTATACATGCAAGCTCTTATTTTTCAGCACGTAGTATCTAGTCTTGGCACGGTTGAAAGGCGTCTTGATGGGTAGTTCGTGGTCGGAAACAAGCATCTGTCTCATAAATCTATTTGCCACTCGAGAATTGACCAAGACCTGTCAGTAAATTTGCCATGCCTCAGTTGACTGTAAGCAGTAAGCTGACACCGAAGTCGGTGTATCTAGCATCATTTGGCATCAAAGTTTTCCTGTCTAATGCAAGAGGGTTCGCTTAGCATAAGCTCGAATTCTAATCAGTGAGACCAAAGATGGTGTTTTTGTTGAGAGCATTCTTACACACTTTCAGCTGAGAAACATAGCTCAACCTTTGACGAGACTGTACCACTCCTATTAGATTTGGCGAAGCGTACCGACTTGGTGGGACATCAAGGATCTCGATCGAACTACTTGTCGAACCACAACCCAATCATACATCATCGATCCTTAGAGAAAGCAGTTCGACGCTAGACTATGAGAGCGTGAAGGCCTTCGGTGTTTGCGGGGTCAAGATCCAAGAACGCAGTTCCGGCTGAATATGAAAGGTGGCTGCTTCGGGTGACCGAAGCCATTGGAGGCTATCAAGCCTATCCAGCTCATCAAGACATCAATAGAATCAATCTTCAGCCGCTGGAACTTGCTACTCACGCATCCACAGTTCGCCGAACGGTTAAATGATCTTTCGGGACTATGTCTCAGATTGATATCATCAAGGTTCAATAGCAGCATTTTATGCATATTTCATGCATCATTACCGTTGAATGAGACTCCGAGCGTTGTCCATTGCATCAATAAGACTTAGCGGGTAGAGAATTATTGAAGCATAAAGCCACGTGCATTCGGGTTCAACGTCTCGTGTTCTAGCCTGAACGGAATAACCACACATTTCTACCAGTCGCAGCTGTTCTAGAGCGGAAAGGTGGATCTAGTTTATTGAGGATTGAGTTTATCATCGTTCGATAGTGCCGTCGTAAAAGGAAATTCTGTGGGGAGAGGAAAAAAGCCAAGTGCCACAACGGGGAAACACGATGAGAGAAAAGAGTTAGTGCAAACTCAAACTCTCCATACGTAATGCATATCATCCGCCAATTGATTGCGTTAGCCGTTACAAGAAGGGATGGCAGGAATTGCGCTGAATGTTCTGGGCGTTTTAGCAGCCAAACCTCTATCAATCTGCTCGAAGCCGTAATTGGGGGAGTCCACCAAGTTACCATACTCTGAGGGTGACAGAGGAAAGCCACTCGATGGTCTAGATCTCTACGTGTGTGTAAGAGATAACGTGCCAACTGTGTGTTGGATGGTAGATGCTGCTGGTAATCGATCAAGCAATTGGTTGCTCCTTGCATAAGCGTGTTTGGGCCAACATCAACGTCTTTGAGCTGGAAGATGGATGTGTAGATGCATTGCGATTACTCTATGCAGTAGAAAGTCGGAATCTTACAAACAAGTAAGTTGAAGTTGTCCCAAGCATAAAAGGAAGCTATTCCTCTCTTCCAAAGCACAGGATTCTTAACACTCCAACTCAAACAACTTAGCATTCTTTACTACTACAATCGTTATTACAGACAAGACAAGTCAAGTCCTAGCCTCTCAATATGAAGCTGGCAGTCGTTGCTCTCCTTACTGCTGTGCCAGCCATTGTGGCAGCACCAGTCAACTCCAATGCTCCGGCCAGGCGAGATGAACATGTCGCCGTCAGACGATCTATTCCTGTCTCTCGATATGGCAGAAGATGGTCTAACAATGGTCGTCAGAGATTCGATGATGACTCTGATGAAGAGAGAGGTATGAGTGGTGGTGGTCGGGGTGGTAGGGGAGGCTCATCAGGAGGTGGTCGGGGTAGAGGAGGTAGCAGCGGTGGTAATCAAGGTCGTGGTGGTCATGGAAGCTCTCCGGGTGCCTCTCGAGGAGGTCGAGGTGGCTCGGGAGGTTCCGGAGGCCGCGGTGGCTTTGGTGGCAACTATGGAAACAGGCCCGGTAGTCCTCAGAGACAGCCATCACGAGGCAGACCCGGCAGCCCTGTAGGCGGCAAGCCAGGTGGCAGACCCAACAGTCCTGGTGGTCGTCCCGGTCAGGGAGGTCCTGGAAGACAACCCT